GTCATTTGTACATGTTTATACATTATAGGGCATAGTCTGTTAGACGTGTCTTGGCGACTCGCAGGTCGCTTTCTTGAGTAAATGGTGTGTGCATAGTTACGAATAGTACTTTGTTAAATCTGACGTGTACCTTTTCTGCATTGGGTAGTTTTGTATGTCCTGCCAATTTTCATCTAGTCCCCCATGCCCACCCTGTAGCCACCATGCAGTCCTAGGACATGTGGGGTACCTACTGTGTAGGGTCCCATCAGGGCACGCAGCCTCCTTGCGACCCCGTGTCTAAGGTCCAGGATGGTGGTATGGTAGGGTGTTGACCCCCTACGCTGGTACAATTCGGCTCTGCCCAGCGTTATACATTGGTGTGGATGGGAGTAACCTAAGGGGCAACCTGCGTTTCCATCTAAACTAGTAACGTTTGTAACTCGCGGAACTGGCGCTCCTCCACCCCCCGTACCCGCGGGGCCATAAGCCGTTTTGGGCACTGCAGGTGGCCGCACCCCGACAGGAATCATACCCCCCGCAGCACGCTCCTCCCGGACCTGTGGGGTAGGGTGGGGTACTGCGTCTTGGGCCAGGTGTGGGTCGTCCCGTTAGGCTCCTGGTGTCTCCTCCTGGGGGTCGTCCGTTCCCCCCCCCATGGTCAAATGCACAGTTCGAAATGCCTCCGTTCCCACCCGTGTTAGCCAGGGTGTCCATGTGTCTAGGTATGTCTGCATTCGGTCTTGGGCTGAGTACCAGATTTCCTCCGTTACTCGTAACTCCTCCATTCTAGTAAACCACAGGGAAAGCGTTGGAGTTGTGTCTTTTTTCCAGTACAAAGGTATTAGGTGTTTTGCGACATTAAGAATGCGGATGGTCAGGGAGCGTTTGTATCGTGGTGTGGGGGTTGTCGTGTGGTGCAGGAGGTACGGGGCGGGCTGGAAGGGTGGGACATTATCCGTGAATAGGGCCACCATGGCAGCTATTTTCTCCCAGAACGGTACTATGAGTGGGCATTCCCACCATATGTGGAGGAAGGATCCTACCCCTCTCTTGCACCTCCAGCAGAGGCCGTCCGTGTCTAAGTGCATTCTCTGTAAGCGTTCTGGTGTCAAGTACCATTGTGTGAGGACCTTGTAGGCCGTTTCCTGCGTTTTGCTAGCAATTGCGCAGTGGTGCACTAGGTCGCAGATCTTGTGCCACTGGGTCTCGGTAAGTGTTTCTCCTATGGCGGTCTCCCATTTGGACATGAAGGGGGGTGGGGGTTGTCCCTGTTGTCGTTGTAGCATAGAGTAGAGGGCGGAAATGCTATGGGGCATGGGCTCCGGGTCCTGGCACAACTGTTCGAATTGCGTGAGATCCCTATAGACATCGGGGTGTTGTGGTATGGTGATGATGTAGTTCTTAATTTGGGTGTACCTAAATGTCGTCATGAAGGGGTGGGTGGGTGTGCCCATGAGCGTCTGTAGGGACAAGATTTTCCCATTGGCAGTCATGTCTCGGAGTCTGGGTATGTCTTGTGGGAGGACGCAGCGGAGGTTTCCTGGTCTTAACCCCGGTTCAAAGTCCGGGTTGTACACCAGGGGTAGTAGTGGGGATGGGAAGGAGGAGAGGCGTAGTTTCCTCGCTTGTGTGTGCCATATGGTTAAGGTGGCGGTGATGAAGGGTTGTTGGTAAACCAACCGCCGACCCGTCGTGGGGTCCAGCCACAGGAGGGCTGAAAGGGGCCTGCCTGTGTGGTGAGTTTCAATGGCCTTCCAGGGTTTGCTTATCCCCTCTTTTGCCCATTCCAGGGCCCGTTGCATGTGGCATGCTTGGTAGTACAGTTTGAGGTCAGGAACGGCCAAGCCTCCTGCTGTTTTGGGGAGTGTGAGTTGTGTGTACTTGAGTCTGGGTTTAGTGCCCTTCCAAATAAATGTAATGAGGAGGGTGCGGAGTGCTGCGAAGAAGGTGCTAGGGAGTGGGATTGGTAGTGTCTGGAATAGGTAGAGGACCCGTGGGAGGATGTTCATTTTGGCAATGGCAACCCTGCCAGGAAAAGTGAGGTGTGGCCCATTCTGTCAGATTCTTCCGTATGGTTCCCAGCAGTGGGGTGAAGTTCATATGGTATAGTTTGGATAGGTCGGCCGTGAGCCTCACCCCCAGGTATTTAATAGCGGTGTCCCGCCATTGGAAGGGGAAGTTCAGTCTGATTTGGTCTGCCCTCCTCTGGGGGGAGCCAATGTTGAGGATAGAGGATTTGGCATAATTGATCTTGAGGTTGGCAATTTGGCCGTATGTCTTAAACTCTGCCATGAGGTTTGGGAGGGAGATTTCCGGGTTAGTAATAACAGAAGATGTTTTGGGTAAGCAGATATCTTGTTCGGCTAACCCTTAGATGCCCGGATAGCAGAATTTTGTAAGCTATCCGGAATAGTTCCTGCTTATACCTCTGAGGTACTACTAGCTGCCTAGTGTGGATCGGTTCTGACCCGGCCTCTAACCTCTCTGATTCTCGGTAGAGGAGTCCCTTGTCCCACACATACCTCTCTCCCTCTAACCCAGCCTGACTGGAGGTGACCCGGTTCCTGTATACTTGTAGCGTGGGGTCAGTGGTCACCTCTTTGCCAAACTCACTGGGGACATCCCAGGGCAAACACTCTAGGGGTAGGGATGTGTCACTTACCTGAGCCTCTGAGTGTGAGCTTTGGACCCTGGTGCGGGCCTGTTGCCTGGTGACCACCGGGTCTAGTTCCTCTGGCTGCTCTTGGGTCACACACGACTTTTATGCCAAGTCCCAACCAAGAGGTTTTCAACGCAATACCACAAGGGTTTCAATCCCAGGATCCTATGTGCCTGAGAGATAACTGTGTGAAAAAAACCCTTTATTTTAATTATCTCTCAGGTACAGAAAATCCAACAAAATACACTGCACCCCAAAAGTGCCCCCACCATACATAGAACCCCACAAAGAGTATATTCCCCGATAGCCGATAGAGGAAGCATTCATTAATTACTTCAATTGCGGTTTCGCACTTAAGTGGTCGGTGTCAATGTTCTAATGGGGTACAGGGGTAGTCCTTGTTCAGAACTGTTGTGCATACTGCTCCTCCACAGCCCATACTACAAATTTTTGTCCCAACATGGCGGACGGACATGCCTCCACGCAAGGAGCTAGTTCCTCTGGG